GAAATAAAGATCAGGGTGCACGTTTACTAAGGAGAGACGTGGGTTGTATTGACGCACGGGTCTAAAGACCTGCTCTTAAAAATGGTAAAACAGTCAAGTCACATTAGGTCTTTGGCAGGTGCCGTCTATCCTGTAAACTTTTCAGTAGCTTGAACAAACAGGTTGAACTTAAATAATAATTTACATACTACACTTGTACTGAAAGTTAGTCTAATAATACTTAAAACAGATAAAAATATATCTCGGCATTGACTGTATTGCCTGTGGTATGCATTTAGGCAATAAAATTCTAAGGGATAAGGTAGATTCATTCTAACTAACTCAAAACTACTCGGAATCGCTAAGTTAATATAATCCGAGTGGATTAATGCACATCTAAGCCAATATCATGTTGGTTATGTTAATGAGAGGTACTTAACTTTATTATTTGCATCCATTCAAGGTGCTTTCTGACCAGCTTACAACTGGTTTAGAACTTTTAGTATTAATAATGATGTACTTTATCATCGTTATGCACAATAACTCTAATAGAATAGTGTTCTTTGCTAAATACTATAGAATCTTGTAGCTAAAGTCACTAAGTTAAGCTTTGTTATGCAACAAAATCACGAATTAAATCATATCAAAATGCTGACACACTTATGCTCATGGTAATTAACATGATTATGTAAATAAAAATAAAATATAAATAATAATAATAAATAAACTAAATTAATTAAGTTAAATTAATAAAAAACAAAAAGAAATAATAAAGTTTACTGGTAGAAACACTTTTTGCTACTCGAAAGCATCATTTTTTCATAATTAAAAGCTTAAAACCCCGTTATAAGAAATAAGATTTTCTTGTGTCTCGTTACTTGAGCGGGTCCTGTGCTCACATTATCTCTTGATTTTACCTGTAACGTGACTTTTGTTCGGGATACACGTAGGCAACCTATATTTGACTGTAACCGCAATAATTAAGTCCTTTGTAGTTCAATAGTCAAACACAGTGGCGACTGCATAGCTCGGCTACTTAGCGGGTAGACTTTGTCGAGTGATTTGTGTGCGCTCTGATCGTAGGACCTTTTGATCCTTCGTCAAGTTTAGCACACTCTTCATTGGGAGTAACGATTCCTGTTCCGTCGTCAGACTCAAGTCTTACAAGCGCACGAAAAAGATCATGCCTATATATAAAATTTGTCTTTGCCGGCACTCTTATTCCTGGCGGGTTCTGTGGGTTTCGATTTAGGGAACTTAAATAGGAGCCTTCCAAAGATGGAACAATGTCTAATAGCAGAGTACTACTGTATCGGGTCTTGTCACCCTCTACGACTAAAACAGTTAGCACCTAGATCCTGTTCCTAACTTTGAGTAGTCTAGTGATTATTTTCTAGCATTAACGAGTGGTCTATAGATCTGGACAGTGATCTGTCACTTTATTTAATACAAAAAAATATAAGGGTCAAGAGTCATCCATTACTTTGGAGTGTCGCTGGTTGCAATAACTAACTGACTTAAACTTAGGTTTAGGTTAGGTTAAAAACACAAGGTTGGAAACAACTACTCTTAAAATGTGTAAAAATTCAGCAGCAGATAGAGGCCTGTGACAGGTTCTATCTTACCTGCGACGTATGACTTACGTTATGGCCCCCTCATGCCTTGCGCCCGGTTCCTTTATAGAGGCGACTAGGCTCGTATGGTTATTTTGACTGGCTCTATAGCTTCAAAACCAAAAGGCACATTAACCTTGCGGAATTAGAAGATTCGCTTTGAGTACTAGCAAATACCTTTCGGATTAGTTCCTTCTTAGGCGCTGCTATGAAAGAGCTACTGTAACCAGTTAAAACACTATTATGAAGATTGGCTAGCCAAGTCATGCTGGACACTACTTCTGTGCGAGTGAGTAAATGCGAATGAAAGCCATTGAAGCAAGCGCTGCAGGAATGAGAGATATTCTAATAGCACTTTAACCCTGTTCCGGGAACAGTATTGCAACTTTGCTATGTCTGGTCGCATTAGTGCTAGAGCTATAGTTAGACGCGTTGTTCTAACTAAACTGTGTGTCTAGCTGTGGCACTAGAATAGTGCTATTGCTTTTCTGAAAGTGTAATCACCGGACCTTCCTCAATGTGTTTAACCATTACTTAAGTCAATACTTATCTGAGGTTGCTTTCCTTTTTTATCTTGTTTGATGATTTAAAGCTTATTATAAGATTTATCATTATTACTATTTAACAGTTAATTCTAAGAGAAAAATGCCAGCTTAATTCTTAGTAGTTGTAGAGGTAAACAACTTATCGGACCTTCTTACAATAATAAGGGACAGGTGTAAAGACTATGTTCTGTATTGTACAAGTCAAACTCGATTCTCTAAAGTGGTTTGTTCAAGATATTTTACTAGTTATTTTCTTAACTTTATTTAATGTGCTCTTTTAGCGATAGGTTTTATTATTTAAAAGCTTAAATGTTTAAATTAGGTCTCCGTTTGTAATGTAAAGGCAGATAATCGCTAGCAAATAATCACTTAAATGCTAAAGCTGAGTTCTAACTACTCAGTATGTTGCTGTTTTTTTTTCAGGTCTCCGGAGGGTTTAGGTCCGATCTTGTTTGGACACTAGATGCACATAGATTTGTTAGAGGTAGGTCTACTTGTCGATATATTTTATGCAAAGCTACATCAATAAACTTGAATAAAGTTATAGATCCCTGTCCAGAGCTATATACCATTCATCAATTCTTGGAAATAAGCACGAGATTACTACAAAACACGGAGATTCATTAAGAGGCGGCAGAGTCTCGATTGTGACTATGGTCAAAGGCACAAACCAAGATTGCTTCCTAGTTTAAGGATACTAGTTTGTGCCTGCTCTATTTAAAGTTACTTTGAACAAAACTAACTACCATCTAGGAATGAAAATTTGATCATTCTACCAAATTAGAATGAAAAAGGGAGAGAAACTATGTTCCTTCTCTTTACGGTGGTTATTCAACACGAAATAGTTTAATAAACACCTGACTCGAGTACGGAATGCGGTATTACTGCGTTGCCTAGTGCAATAAATGCAAGCAAACATTACTATGATTCCTTGTGATTGTGTGGAATGAAAAATAATGTGGATTGCGATTTTATTATAGAAAATATTGAGCGATGTAAATCTAAAAAAGTGAAAAGTCGAAATTAATATAAATCAAAAAATAATTTATTTATAATATTTTAGGCCGTACATTAACAGACGTGCTTATCACGTATTTTATATAAAGTTGTCAATTACAGTCCAATAGTAGCTTTCAAGTACATTTATTGTAGTTAACCACTGCAGCGCCTTGAACTAAAGTAAAAAATATTACAAACTGGGTATTATTATAATCAAACAAGCAAGAAAAGAATTAGCGATGATAATGCTTTACTAGCTGTACATATTATTTACTTTTACAAAAGCTATAATTGATTCGCTTCTTTGAAGCCCATGAACGTTCACCTTCATTATATATTTTCGGCATTGGTTATTTGCTTCTAGTTTATTAGTAATTTGTTCGTTACTGTTTACTAGTGTTTAATTCCGGTTTTCTGTAGACATTGATAAATTTAATATGCTTAAATTATAATTTTTTTTATTTTACTAGTTATTTAGAATGGAATTTCGCGTATAACTAAGTATGCATATATAAGTATTTCTACGTTTATATATTACTGTGTTTATACTTGCGTAGTTATCCTGTTAATACGTTTTTTCGGTTTTTTTATTATATTAAGATAGATATGCACTATACTACAAAAGCACTGAGTGGCGAATACAGCGTTGTACTACTCAGACGGCTCGGAGCAATCTAATAACTATTACAGCTCTTCTTAACTTAAACTAAATCTATACTTTATTTTTTTTAAATTTTAATATTTAATATACTGCCTCCATTTGTTTATAATATATTAATTCTTGAAGTTATTAAGTTTTTAAGATTAAAGTTAGAAAGATCTAAAATAAAAGTAATGATAAATTTAAATAACAATAACACACACTACTTTGAAACTTTTTTTCCTCTTTACCATCTTGAAAGTATATATAACATTTCTAAATTTTGTTAAGTTGAAGCTATAATCTGTTAAAATATTGTTGTTTTTTAATTATGTTACTGAAGTAAATCCGGCTATTAAGTAAATTATTACAATGTAAATCTATAGTCTTAATATATTATATAATATCACTTTATTTTTTTTCTCGATACTGAACGCAACTTTTTTAATTTATAGTCATTAATAATAAATATATAATATATATATATATCAATATTTATACGATTCTTCTATATATAATAAATATCTATAACAATCTCTCCGATGAAGATGGGCCCTTTTAACGCTAATAAATAATCTTATCATATAAAATCTTTACAAAATTTTAATATTAAAAATTTTCGAAAGTGAGTAGGTCAAGAATATATTTTACAAAGTAATGTTTAGTTTAGGAAGATTTTTTTACAACGTGAAACCTGTTTGTCACTAATTTATATTGAAAACGATGCTATAAAGACCCTTTTTGGATACAACTTTAAATAATTTAATAAAAAAAATATATATAAATATTTCGCAAAAGCTACTTTCTTCGTGGTTAAACTCTAAATGTATCATTTTCACTTTTAAAATTATAAAAAGAACACCATAAAAGTAAAGATGACCATAAAGTTTTGCCCTTATAACTTTTTGCGACCCCTCACCTTGCGCGTACATCTACGTTTCACAGCATTAAATAAAATTTTTGCGTTTAATAAAAAGTTTTTACTTCGTAGTTACAAAGTTTTATAGTATAAAAAAATATACATGCCTGAAAGCGGATTCCCACATCTTTCTACTTTAGTTAGTAAGTGTTTAATTTTAATAAAATAAAGCGGAATTAATAATCTAAACTTCATACTTGGTATATTTTATATATAAATTTAAAAATATATTCAAATTTTGATTAAAATAGGCACTTCTAGTGCGCCCTTAATAGGTTATCGTATAACAAGCATTAACTTTTGGAAGTAAACTCTTTTCATCTTGTATTAGTTGATGAACTAAAAAGTGATGGCCTAAAGGAGCTGGGAAATGCTGCATTCTGGTCGTTATCATCTTTTAAACAGGTAATTTTTTTTCAATTCTATTAAACGATTTTCTTTTTTTTTAAATATTAAATTATAAATTATTACATGTAAAAGGGGTTCGGAGTGGAACAGCTTCGAGATAATAATCTCCATACTTATTGGCAGTATTTTTTTCTTTGAGATTTATAGACTTTTTATTATTTTTTTTTAAAAAAAAAAAGATCTGATGGGCCTCAACCGCATTCAATTAATATTCAATTCGTGAGAGAATTTTTAGTAACAGTTAAAATTTTTTATTCAATTTTAATTTTTTTACTGTTTATATTTCTGCTTTCTTTAAAAATTATTTAAAGTTTATAAATTTTAAACCTTTTTTTAGAATTAATTCAATGTTTTTATTTTTTATAAATATTTTTAACCTTTATTTTATACTTTTAATACTATTATTACCAAAAAAAGTAATTCCAAAGGTGAAATTATAATTGATTTACGGACTGTCTGTGATGGTTTAGTTTCGAGATTAAATTTTTAAATTTTAATATTTTGTTATGGTTCACAATATAATTTTTGTGTGAATTTTTTTTAACCTATTTCTTCATTTTATTATCAATTTTAAAAGTTTTTATTTATTAAAAGTTTTTATTTTTTTTCTGGTACACTTGCAGTGTAAATATGTGTGACTTTTTAAAATTTTTAATGTTCTATTTATTTTTATATATGAATTTTAAGATTAATTTTAATTTAATTTAATTTTTATTGTATGTAATTAGCATTTTTAACATTGCATTAATTTTTTAGTGAACTTCACCTAATTGAGTTTTTTTTTTAACCTTTATATATCAAATATTATATTTAAGTATAAATTTTAAAGTTCTTCGCTCGTTTATCAAATATTTAAATTATTTTTTGAAGAAATGATTAAAATATATAAAATTAAAATGTAGCGCTTCACGTTTACAATTTTTTAATTATTTTTTAAGTTAATTAATTATAATTTAATTGAGTAAAATTTTAACTTTTAAAAAAATTATTGTAAAATCTTTTTTAATTTTTATATTTTTTATTATAAAATTAAATTATTAAAAATTTTTATTGTTAATTGAAATTTAGAATCTTTTGTATTTTTTATTAAGTTTTTAATAGATATTTATTATTTTCTATATATTTATATTTTATTTTTAATTTTACTTAATTTAATTTAAAACGCGATTTAAAATTTTTTTTAATGTTTATAAAATTAATTGTGTTTTCGATAAAATAATTTTTGGATTTTTAGTAATTAAGTGAAACTTTTATTTTTTCTTTCTAACTTTTTATATTTATAAAATGTTTTTTTTTACGAATTTTGCTTAAAAAAAATTCTAAAAATATTTTAAAAAATTTTGTTATAAAAATTTTATTATTTTCTATTTTAACTTACATACAATTTATTTAATTTTCTAATAACTTTATAGTCATTATAATTTTTTATACTAACTTTTAATTCTTGAACAAAAATTTATTTGCTTTTATATTAAATTAAGTTTTAATTGTTATTTTATATTTTAATTTTATTAATTATAATAATATTTTCAATAAATTTTCAATTTTTAATAGTTTATATTAAATTTTAATCCTTAAAAAAATTTAAATTTCTTTTATAATAAAATTAGTTAAATGTATTTTTTATATAAATTTGTAGTCTATTTTAATTTCTATAAATTTTAATTTTAATTCTGATAGTTTCCAGTTCTTATAGTAGTTTTTTTATAAATATTTAATTGTGAATTTAGAAATTAATTTTTTTTTAAAAATTTATGAATTAATTTATTATTATAATAAAATTTTAAATTTAATTAATTTAATTTACTAAACTTTAAATAAAAAAATTTAAAAGGCTTTAAAACAAATTTATAACTTTTTTAAAAAATTATATTTACTTCAGAGAATTTAAGTAATTAGTTCGAAATTTTTAAAGATTTTTTAATATGAATAAAGTTAATTTAAATTTACTCCAAATTTTGTAGTATATTTTTATAAATTAAGGAAATTTGTTTGTAAAACTGTTTTTTTATTACATCTTAAACAGAAATTCAAAAGAAATATATACTTTTAGTATTCGGTTTTTTAAATTTTTTCTTTAATTTAGTAAATTTCCGAAATAAATTTTTGCGTTGACTTTTTTATTACTTCTTTAACAACAATTGAAAAATATTACTTTGCGTTTATAATTTTTTAGAAAAATTAATATTTTTATAAATTTAGGTAATTTATTTGTACGATGACATTTTTATTACATCTTTAATAGAAATAATTCAAGAAATATTTACTTTTAGTTCTTTATTTTTTTTAAATTTTTTTATTTTATACTGATTACGTACGTTAACTTTTATAATGCATTCTTTAAATTTTATTATTATAGGAAATTTGTTTATACGTTGATTATATTCAAGATGAAAGCTACACTCCAAACGTGCTTTTAGTTAGTTCTGGCGCTTCTTTTCACGAATTAACTGTAAATTTATTATTTTTATGAAATTTTAATTTTTTTTAATTTAAAATTTTAATTTCATTTTTTTTAAAAAATTAATTTTATTTTAGTTATTTTTTAACGACAATTTTTTATATATATATAATTATAATTTGTATAGATTTAATAGTTTTAATTACTTTTTATATCCAGTTAAAAATATTTTTCTAAATTAATTATAATTTTCATATATAATTAATATTTTTATTCCTCTTTTCACAAGTTGAATGTAAATTTATCATAATTATAAATTTTATTATTTTTAATATTAATTATTTTATTTTTTTAATTTAGAAATTAATTTAATTTATTTTTTAGAAATTAATTTCATAATTATATTTATTATTCAACTAAATTTTTTTTAAGAAATTATAGTATTTATGTATAATTAATAATTTTAATTACTATTTAAGGACAATTATATAATTGGAAATAGTACTTGTAAACTTAAAGGAATATAGATATGTAAAAAGTTATACAAAACGATATAATATAATAATTATAAATAAAAAGTAAAAAATATTAAAATAATATTGATAAACAATTTTGTTTATAATAATAATAAAAATAAATATATTAATGGTAGCAATAGACAAAAGGGGACAAAGATAAATATACAGAAATATAATAAACTGGTACTTACAAACTTGCTCTCATAAATAACATAAACTTTTTTATATATATATTATAATAATTTTATTATTTTAATTTAATTTCTAGCAATTCCTGTTTTTATAAAAATTTAAAATATTTTTTATAATATTTTTTATATAATTTTTAAATCCATTTTTTGTTATTCGCCAACTATTTTTAGTAAATCCTTTAATTACCATTTGCTAATACTTTTTAAAAAATTTTTTTAAATTATTTCTTCTAATATGTAATTATTTGCCTTTTTATAGTAAATTATTATTTTGCTGTATATTTTAATTAATTTTAATCTATTTATATACTAATTATAAAAATTTGAATTAACTTTTAATATAATTTTTATAACTACTTCTAGTAATTTTTTTAATGACAGTTTATTAATGCTTTTTAAAAAATTTTAAATTTACTTTTTTTTATAATAAATTTTTTTTGCATCCCAATTTTTAATAGTCAATCATATTTGAATTAAAATAGTTTTTCTTTTTATTATTTTATATATTGTTTAGTATTAAAATTTTTTAATTAAAATTTTCTAATGAATTTTATAAATTTATAAAGATGATTAGTATATAGTTTTTATAAAGAAATCAGGTAGCGATCAAAAAGTATAAAAAAAAAGTTTTTTTTTATTAATGTTAAAGGTGAAACCAACTTAAAAATTTTTTTTAAATAAAATTTTTTTAGTAAAATTTATGACATTAGAAAACTTTTAATTATTTAAGTTTTCACAAAATTATTAATTGTTAGAATTCTATATTCTGTTTATTATTAAAATCATTTTACTTATTATGGTAATCTTTTAATAATTATAATTTGAATTATTTATAACTAAAATAATTTAATAAATTTCATATAAGAAATGTTTTTTTATTGTATTATAAAAAATAAATTTATAGAAATAATGTAAATGTTGTATAAAAAAATAGCAGTTTAAAAAAACTACCAAAATTTTTTAAAAAAGATCAGTTTTGTTTAATAACTAATCAATGAATAAGATAAATTAAAAAATCATATAAAATTGAAAAGTTTTTATTAATTCTTAAATGAAATCAACTTGCAAATTTATTTTTTGTAAATAAAGTTTGTTTGAAAATTTCCAAACATCAGATTTTTTAATGAATAGTCAAGTTTGGGAGTTCATATTTTATTATAAAAATATCATTTTATTTATAAAAATTTTTAGAAGTTTTTAAAATTTTATTGTTTAAAATCTTTATTAATTCTAAAAATAAAATATAATCTGAAATATAAAAATAAATTTTACATATAACAAAAAATAAATTTATAGAAATATAAATTTTATATAAAAAAATTAGCAATTTATAAAAAAAATTACTATTAAAAAATTTATTACGAAATTTTTAATTAGTAATAAATTTTTTATTATAAAATAGTATTTTAAATTAATAACTTTTTTTTATTTACTTTGATTGTCGTCCTTCTTTATATATATTATTTATTTAACGAATTTTTTTTTTGTGTAATAGAAAGTTTATATTTTGCTTTTAATAAATTTTATTTCACTTTTAATTTTTTTAAAAAAAAAAGAAATGTTATTTAATTATTATATATCTGAAATTATTGTTTTTTAAAAAAATTTATAAAACTACTTATAATATATAAAACGATCTCAATTTTTTATTATTATAATAATTAAATAAAAAGACCTATTTTGCTTAAAATAAATTTTATTTCAACTTTAATTTTTTTAGAAAAAAATAATTAAATTAAATTTGCCTTATAACGAATTATTACTTTTAACAAGTACTCTTTTAAATTCACTTTTTTAATATAAATTTGTTTATCATTATTTAGCTTTATTTCAACTTTTTAATTATTTTTAAAAAAAATCTTTTATTAAATTTGTTTTTAACGAAATTATTATAAATAATTTATTTAATTATTATATTTTAAAAAATGATCCAAATTTAATTTTTTATTATTAAATTTCACTTTAACTTTTTATTTTTTTTAAGAAAATAAAATTTTTATTAAATTTGCTTTCCAACGAAATTATTAATTATAAAAAAAAATATTTTTTTATAAATTAAATTTCATTTTAACTTTTTATTATACTTCGAATATAAGTTTTTTATTATATTTGCATCTGAACGAAATTATTTATTATAAAGTTGTTATAAAATATTGATTTCTGTTTGTTAAACGATTCAAATTTATATATATTTCAGTTTTTATATTATAAATAAATAAAACATCTTTTTTTCTAAATGTAAATACATTTAAACTTTTTATTTATTTAGAAAAAAAAATAATTATATTAAGTTTGCATTTCAACGAAGTTATTAATTATAAAATTACTTATAATTAATAAAACGATTTAATTTTATTTTTTTCTATAATTTAATTTCTTTTTAACTTTTAAATTTTTTAAAAATAATATTAAATATTATTTTGAATATTATATTAAATTTGCGCTTCAACGAAATTGTTAATTATAAATTTGTAATGTAAAATTAACTTTTATTTATTAAACAATTCAATTTTATTAGAAGAATTACTTTTATTGTTAGAGAATTTTCATTTGATTATTTCTTCTTATTAAATTCTTTTTTGATATTGAAATTTATTTTTATAATTAATTTGCACTTTAACAAAATTATATTAAATATTTTTTGATCTCTTTATATATATTTATTAAATTATTATTAATTAATTTTTCTTTTGAATATTTTTATAATATTTTTATATTTTCTTATTGAATTTCTTTTTTATTTAAAATTTTTTTTATTGAATAAATTTTAGGAGCAAATCGTCTTTGAAGTCGTCGAGCCGAAAGGTTGGATAGTAGCGAAGTTTAGCGAAAATTCTGAAAAGTTTATGAATTTTCTTTTTATAATTTATTATTTTTACTAAATATATAAAAACAGTTTTGAAAATTTTTAAAAGTTTATATAAAAATTTATTAATAATTTTTTTGTATGAAAATTTAGCAATTTTTTATATTCTTTTTAATTAATATTATTCTTATTCTATTTTATTGTTTTATTTTTAATACCAAACATTTTGAAAGGTTTTCAAAAATTAGCCATAAATTTCAAAAGTTTTTAACTATTTTATTTAAATTAATAATAATTATTTTTAATTTAGCAATAATTTTTTATAGTTTTTGTAAATTATTTTTATATTACTTTTACATTTAGCGATATTCTGTAAAGTTTTTAGAAGAAATTTTTAATTTATTAGTTATTCTTATTATTATTACATATTTCCCGATAATTTGAATAATTAACAATTATATAATATATTATTATTTGTATTTAGCGATAATTTTAACAAGTTTATAGTTATATCATTTATTGTAATAATCCTGAAAAGTTTTCAATACTATTTAAATTATTATTAATTATAATTTTTATTGTATGTAATTCTTAAGTTTTTTAGTTACTATTTTAAAATTATTATTTTCTTTTCAAATTTAAATTATTTCTTAAAGTTCTTGAATTTTTTTTATTGTATTTAAAAATTAATGTACAATTAAAAATTTAATATATTCATAAAAAATATTAATAATATTTATAATTTAAAAAAATTTACGTTTAAAAAAATTTTCAAAGTACGGATTTTTAAATTTTAATAAAAAATAATAAAAAGTAATTGGAGTTATTATTCAAAGGAAATTAAAGTTTTTTAAAAAAATAAAATTAAATGATTTATAATTTAAAATTTTAATAGAAAATATAATAAAAACGTAATTAAAATTTCATTCAAAAGAAATTAAAATTTTCAAAAAGAAATAAAATTAAAAAATTAATATAAATATATAAGTATTCAAAAAAAGCAGTTAATAAAAAAAAATTTAAAGAAAGATTTAATAAAATTAATTTTTCAAGTCATCTTTTATATATTTATTATATAATTATTTTTATATTATAACCCAATAATGTAATTTACTTTTTTTAATTCTTTTTATTCTAAATTTTATTTGAACTATTTTATTTTTTTTTATAGAACTCCTTTTTATTCTAATGTTTTGCAAATTTCAATATTAAAGAACCACCAGAACGGGAAAGACACGCACGTTCGCCAAGTAAAAGTCTTCGGATCGCTCGAGTAATTTTTTTTTAATAAAATCAATATAATTTTATTTAATTTGTATTAATATTTTAAATTTTACTTCAGCTTTAGCATCCGCACAGTCCCTTATCATACTACAACATCTTTTGCGCAATACGCATATCTTCGCTAGCTTTATCCATAATAATAATACTCTATATTAATTATAATTATAATAAAAATAAATTTTGAAAATTTTTAAAATTCAGTTTTTTGTTCTTCTACTTTATAAAATAATAAATTTAGTTTTTTAATAATTATATAATTTATAAATGTACAATACCTCTTTATATAATTCTTCTATAAAATCATTTAGTAAATTTGCTGAAAGTTTTGTTTATATATATTTTTTAGTAAAAAGTTAATATTTGTAATAAATTTAGTTTATTTTTTCAAAGAAATTAAAAGTTATTTTACTTAAAATCGTTATAATTTTAAGAAAAATTAAATTTAACATCCACATTTAAGAACAAGCAATCAAGCAAAAACTAGTCATGTAATGCTTGTTTAAAAAATTTAACAACCAGGCTCGTAAACCTATAGCTCTAGTTAAAGCCCTTACTTGTATAATAGCATTCATTGACAAAATTATTTTAGTTCTCTTATTTTTCTAGTAGCTTGGGTGCAGCTCTTTAGAGTTATAACCTTACTAGAATCTTTCTACGTTAAAATACAAAATAGCATGTTGTTTATCAACTGGATCTTTAGCTATTACATAGTATACAACCTAGAGATAATTGTATATATTTATCTAAAGCCTTAATAAAAGTCGGCATAATCTTTCACCAAGTTCAAAATTTATTTAAAAAACATAAAGGTAATGAATAATAAAATAATAATTAAATCTATAGAAAAGTTTTAATAAAAGTTATATAAATATTTATTAAAGTAAAAAATATATATAAAAGTTTATTCTTAAACTTGAAATAAAAAAAAGTTTGTAACTTGGCTAAATTTTTCATTTTCTAAAAAATTCTTATTGTTGAAATGTCTTTAATTTGTTACTTAATTTTAATTATTTTTCTTAAAAGAAATCAAAATTTTTTTGTTTGATGAATAATATATAAAAAATAATTATTAAAATTAAAATAACTATAATTAAAATATAAATTATATAATATCAAAATTATTTATAATTTTGTAACAGTTGGCTGAACTTTGGTTTATCTTTTTCACTAAACAATTTCATTATTGAAAATATTTTAGTTTGTAAATTAATTTATTTTTGCTTTTCTTAAAATTGAAATTTTTTTTATTTAATTAAAAAATTAAGATAATTAATTAGAAAAGTAGTTGTAATAATAATTTATGTAGTAATTATATTATTTATAAAAATACTTATAATCGTATAAATATAATAATTTATTATTAAAATTATTTATAATAAAAAACTTGTTAAAAAATTTTGTAAATTGGTTAAAAAATTTTAATAATTCCTTAACAATAAATAGAACTTTATATTAAATTTAATTATTACTTGAATTTTTCACTTTATTAAATAAAATTTACTTATTATTTTCAATTAAATTTACTATTTTTCTTTACTTTTTTAATTATAAAATTATTTTTAATCAAATTATTGTAATAGAAAATTTTTTCGAATGTCTAATTATTTTTCCGCTACGCTATCAAATTAATAATAATAAGTTATTAGATTTATGGAAAATAATTTTATTAAAAGTTATAGTTGATATATTTTTATGTAATATTTTTTACATTATTTTAATAGAAATATTATTTTATTTTTATTTTAAAGTAAACTTTTATTTATAAACTCATAACCTGAACAGTCCACTTTATATAAATTCATACAAAAATTTTATTATTCTATTTTTATTACTAAGTAAATTTTAAATAATAATTGAAAAAAAAATTTAAATTTATAAAAATATATTTCCTGTTAAAAAAACTATGAGTGCGTTAAATAAACGGCCCCTACATAAAAAACATGTGGGCAACAGGAAATAAAGCATTTGAAGAACAAAAAGAGTTCAAAGGTTATTTTACTTCATGAGGATATAACTTAGTAGTGTACCTGATTACGTAGGAAATTAGTAGCAATAAACTATTCTTTGACAGTAATTCTTTTATAATAATAACAATAACAATGATAATAATAATAAATGCACTTCAATAAATTATTTATAGAACTAAATTTCAGATATACTCTAAGAACATCACCATTCCTAAACTATTAAACTAATGAATTTAATATATTCATGGCTATGAAGAAAGCAATAGTGTTATAGTTACAGTCGTCTTATTTATATTAACTTTGCACTAGAAGATTTCAGAGACACCCAGTGATGAGGGTGCGCTGTCAAAGGAAAATTATTTAAACAAACGTATAAATATTTATGTTTATTTGTTATAAGACAAAAAAGAACAGAACAGAACAGAGTCCGGAAGCCAAGCTAACGGGAGGCGTTGCCAAAAGTAATATAAATAAACAAAACAATAACTTTATATACTATAGAGTTATAAAGGAACATAATAGAATAGAGCTCTAAAGGAAAAAGAGAGATTAGGTCATAGAGAAAAACAAACAATACTTAGAGAAGAAAAAATTGAATAGAGATGCATATGCGCAATTATTCTAGGGTTAAAAGGTTTGTGGAATAAATAAGCTGAAGCCAAGCGAGAAGGCTTAAGACTAAATGCTAATAATCAACGCGAAGTTGTTCAGTAAAAGGAGTTCAGGATGTTATTAAAAAAAAAGATTAAAAAAGCAGAAAGACAGGAACAAGAGAAAAGATGATGTTAACTGGACTTTATATTTAAATCATATAAGATTATTAAGCCGTGGCTATATAAATCAATAGATTATTAAGGAAACAAAATTTTTAAACGTTTTATTCTATTGCAATTTTATAGTAACCAAAAGCTACATGTCCGCTACAGAAGCTTTGGAAAGGAATGGAGTATAATTTAATTAGCCACGTAGTTAAGGTAAGAATACCTTAGGATGCCTTGTTACAATTTTTGAAAAAAACTATTTCTAATCGTGTTGTAGCAAATTTAACTCTTTTCCGATGGTCATATGAAAAATTAAGTCGCTACAAACACAAGCCATAAACACAAACACAATTAAAAATTGCTAGATGGGTAATATTAAGCGGAAATAATTGTTTAAGATACGTACATTTCACTTTTAAAACTCAACCCTTCCCGCGTAGTGCCTAACTACTAACTTTAGCGCCTATGAAAAGTAGCGAAAAAAATAACAAGAATTTAACATATTGCGTTGCTCTTTAGATGTACCAACAATCATGCACTGAGTAAACTACCACACCAAACCAACCCTCGCGCAAGCTTCAACGCCTACCAGAAAACACCTCTTTCAGGTCCCTCGCAGAAGCTACTTACACCCTAAAATTAAGGCTCATGCTAATGTTTGATACGAACATTCGGAAATTCGAAAACGTCCCCACCCATTTTAACTGTTTCAAGTTGATGCTTGCAAAAGTAAAAAAATACTAACAAGCAAACTTTTTAATAAACTCTGATCTAAAGACCATCGTGTAGTATTGTACAAGCACCCTTAATGTCGAACTTTTTGAGATAAATTTTTTAAATTGTCTTTAAGTAACTTCTGAAAGGCCTTCCTTTTTATTTCACCTGGTAATAATTAAGGATCTTCCTCTCGAATCTTCATCTTGAGTTCTTGTATAGCTGATCCAAATTATCGACCCCCACAGCGACTCAACCTAATCAGATACGCTTTTTGGTGAAAACCTTAATTAGCCCGCGTTTGAGCTTCCGATGTAAGCTAGGGGTTATAAAATAATTCCGCAACGTAAAACTTAGAGCCTTAGAAAACATTATATCACCAGCAGCAGTGCTTTTCAGCTGGTTCCGGTGTTTAATCAAATTTTATTCTCATGTTCTACCAGGTACAATCCATTATCTAATACCTCTCACCATCTCTACTTTACTTTTACACTCTTCAATAAAAACTATTTAACCCGCCTCTGAACTTTTCTCGTTTATAATTTTCTTATCCTTCATATCGCAACATTATATTCTTTTCCAACTGTATTTGTTTGTGCAACCAAACTTCTTTTTGGTTCTTTCACATACCAAGATCAATATAAGTGCTTTGTTTAATTTTCCACTAACTTAAAATCGCAATTAAAACTTATTTATTGACTTAAAGCGTGCTTGTCCAGTTAATAGCTCGTACTCAGACGCCATATAAACCCAATGGGTTCTGCTAGTACATATGGTAATCTGCTAAGCTTGTCAGCACACGTTTTTAACAAATAATTTTTTATGGTTCGAATCACCCTTTCGATCATTCCATTGCTTTGGTGATGATACGTAGCGATAAAGTGAACTTCAACACCTTTTTCGATTTGAAACCAAGACTGGATTTTACTCACAAAAATCGGTTAGATTCAAAACTTTTATCAAAAACATCGATAGGTAAGCTTTTGTAAAGAGAGATTAGTTTTTTCCGGTTAGCAGCTGTATATTTAGTATCTTTAAAGTTGTTATTAGCTAACAACGAGAAATTTAGATTTATAAGTGGATAAGGTAATATTAGTTTTAGAGGAGAGTAATAGTAAGGCATATAAACATCATTGCTCTTCATATTGTCTATAATTTGTTGAACATTACCCCTTCTAAACAGTCCTTCTTGTGCCTAAAGGAAATTCTGTCGTTCATTATTAATAATTGGTATACCTCCTCATCGAATTTCAGCAGACCCTGGTATAATAGTAGTGGTCTTCCTTTACATAATCAGACTGCTGCTCGCCTTTCCTTTAGGTCCCAAAGAAGCTTCTGGATTGGACGCCACTAAACCCATGGATGATGATGGTCTTGACGACCAGGAGAGTTCTTCCATAGATGTTTATTATTCAGTGTGGCGGTTTCTTCCAGTAGTTTCTTTGCTTCTGGAAGCTTTCAGGCGAGAGGCGGACGCTACTGGTGGTTTATAGTAATTACTATTTGCCTGGGTACGTTCTTTTAAAAGATGGCGAATTACACCGATTTTTATTGACCGACTTGTGTGATAACTTACTAGTATCATTAGTGGCTGTTGTCCATTTCTTTGGAATTGTTCTTCTATTATTTTTTTATTTTTATTATTGGTAATCGCAGGCCTAGCCTAAGTTTTAAAAGGTTGGGATATGGAT